TGTGCTTTGAACGTAGTGTGATTTTGAACACAATCTTCTAGGTGGAGTTGGTTGAGGTAGTTATAAGGTTCAACCAATGGGAGTTTGCAATGTGTTGAGTTGGCTATCAACAATAATTGTTTCAAAATGTGTTCTCTTGATTAGCTTAACATGGCTTGGTTTGGCTTGAAATTAGCTCACTTGGGCTTGATTTTGGGTTCAAAAAACATGGATTGAGGTTGAGCCAAGGGGGCTTGAGCAATTGGTTTCAATTTAGCTTGGAATGACCTGGCTTGGGTTGAACTTGCCTTGGATTTTTGTGGATTTGACTAGGATCGACAAGTGATTTGAAGCTAATTTTGGGTGGATTTTAGTGTGTTTGCTTGGCCAATGAGATGTCGTGTTTTTGGTGCTGAAGGTGTGGGAAGGTTTGGTGGGTGGAGGGATATGTGTTTGTGTGAAAATTTGGGTAAATCTTGATGTTAATCTTGAAAATAAAGGGGTTTAAAAGTGAAGGTGATTTGTGTAGTTATTATGGTTAATTGTAGCGATTGTATGTGAGTGTAAGTGTTGAGTTTGAATATTTAAAAAATAAATTGAAGTTTGAGTGGATTTTGTTTTTATTATTTATTTATTTTTATTAGTAAATTTTATTGAATTTCATTAAGGAATTATTACATGATATTGGTGATTAGCCATTTCGTAGGATTTTTATGTGATTTTGATTTTATTTTTTGATTTTTTTTAATTGAAATTTTGACTTCAATTACTATTCCATTTATTATTTGTTTGTGAATATTATTGAATGTGTTATGTTTTAAATAATTTGAAGTTTTGACGATTTTTATTTTTTATTTTTTATTTTTTTATTTGTTATTTTTGAAATTTTTTATTGAATTTTTTAATTTTAATGGAATTTTTGGTTAGTTTGGTTTTATTTGATTTTAATTTTTAGTTCTATGGATTTTAATGAAACTTGATTTTATTTGATTTTAACTTTGATTTTAATTTGTGATTTCATTTTATTCTCTCTTTTATTAAAAGATAAACCACTTTAATTCAAAATGAACATCACACCCAATGTGTTTTTAATGAACCAAAAAATGATCTATCCAAAGCTTGTAAAGAAAAGAGTGCAACTTGCCCAAAGAAAGACCAATTAGAAGACCTAAGTCTCTAGGATTAAAGAGTAGCTTAGGGCATTTCCAAGCCTATAGGGACTCAACTTAAGCTTCAATGACTCAGTCTTAATTAACTCAACAAAGTATTAAAGATTAAAATCAAGTACATGAAACTATAAGATGTGAAGATTTGGTTCAAAAGTATAGCTTGGTATTGGTTCCATCACTAGCCCTCTAGGAAAAGCCACTACGGGAAACCCTAATGCTAAATCTTAAATTTTAGAAAGAGAAGGAATAAGGTAGACCCTATGCAAAGATGAGATCTACACTAGACATCTAAGAATTGAACACACTCAATATGACATTTATTCTCTGAAATAAATATAATCAGGGAAGTTCCAATTCCCACTCTAGTCATTTTAAACTTTTTCAAAAACTCGTCTAAATTTATGAAAGAGAAAAATAACTCTATTCACTAAACAACTCAAGCAACAAACCACTCTATGATAGGGTACGATACTGTTAGTTCTCTTTAGGCATAACTAAAGATTCATAATGAACAACTTTTTGCAAGAGAGTCAAGATCCCTTGAAGATAAAAATTGGTCACACTCACTTAAAAGTTCAAAAAACTACACTCTACAGGTGTAGCACAAATTACCCCTAGCAAAGGTTAGTCATGGCTCAGGGATGAGAGTAAGACAATCTAAATCCTCACAAGTACTGCCAAAGTTCTTGCAAGTCAAGGAAAAATATATTAAGAATCATGTTGTGTTCATGCCTTGAATTTTTTTTTCTCAAATTGAGCTATAAAACATGACAAAAATAAATATTTTTTGCAAATTCTCTGAAACTAAAAAAATATTCATTCATTCATTCTCCTTGAATTTCCTAATTGAAGAGATAAGAGAGTTGGCGAACAAAATTTATATCCAAACAATCATACAACCTAACAAGCCTTTTTAAGGGGGGCTTCAAAAAGAGCTTTATGGGCCACAAAGACCCATATTCTAAGATCCTGTTATCCTTAGATTGAGTCCACCAACCGAAGTGGTTGAATTGAGTCCACCGGTTAAAGTGGTCGAACTAAGCTTGCTTGCCGAAGTGGTCGAACTGAACCCATCTAACAAAATGTTCAACTGAGCCTACTTGCTAATGAGGTTGAATCAACTCGTCCCACTTGGTAGGATCATTATTGCACATAAGCATTCAAGTCAATCCTCACTTAAGGTGCTACTTGACACTCGTGTCTCAGTATTTTTACCAAGATGTTGTGGATAGGCGTTGTATTGTATGTAATATGATTTTTTGTCTCTTTTCTCTCATGTAAAAAAGATGAAAGAATGGCTCATAGAGGGACTCAAATTTCCTTTTCCTCTAACAAAGGACCTCAGGAAGGGCTTTCACATTCTCCCTCATGCTCTCTCTCTCTCTCTCTCTCTCTCTCTCTCTCTCACACACACACACACACACACACACACACACACACACTCCCCTCTATCTCTCTCTATCTCCCACTCATTACAGAGGAAGCAAAGATCCTTACATCACCTTCCTTTACACATTTCTCCTATAATATAAAGTATTTATCATGTTGTATGAACTCATGAACAATATTGAACACTACGTCATAAATGGACATAGAAAAAAATGAAAATTGTTAATATTATGAAGGATGAATATATATATATATATATAAGAATTTATGTAATAACCTGTTGTTTGTTTCGAAAATACATTTACTGTTTAGATATAGCTAATATATAGAGCAATTGCATAAAACATAATATCATATGGAACCCAAAAAAATTAAAAAATATAATTGGTAAATATTAATATAAACATTCTTGAAATATTTTGACTAAGAAACCATAAATTGCCCCTCTTTTAAATTTATTCAAAAAATGTTGCAACTTGAAAAAAAGTTCATAAAAAAACTTACAATTAAACTTGATGGGAAAGTTGCGAAGAAGAAAATTTGTAAGCCTCGAAGAAATAAGTGGAGGAGAAAAAAAATATGTCTTACTATTTAAGGGACTATTAGATTCCAAGTTAGGTAATTAGCTTAGCCCTAAAACAATTAATCTTCCTGGACTCACTTGAGTCAATTTGGACTAACCACCGAAACTTGTCTAATTGATTCTTGTGGACCAATCAATTGTACCATAGGATCAATCGAATGCTTACTAGCCTAACCATAGGCCACTAAACCTAGTTGCATTAAACCCAACTCATTGAAGTTTCTAATTCATACAAATCACGACGTTTTGGTTATTCATAGCACTCCTCTATTCTAACTAATTTTCATGTACACGTCACTCGTGGCTTATAGCAACCTTAGTCCAATGTCATTTCATGTTTAGAGATGGAGGCACCCTACAAACTCTCTAACCATCATAACCATATGAAAATCGTCCATTGCATTCATCCCAAACTATGTTGACTACACAAACCCAAAATGCCTCTTCAACCCAACAAAGATGAGAGGGGAGCTTATTTTATGAAAGGACAATCCATATTTCATTCAACAAATAGTGAGAGGATGTTGGACATGCAAAAAGCTTCTCCTTGTCATTTCAAGTACCCCTGGACTTTCCCTTGCTTCCTTGGGGTCTTTATGCATTATACCTATTAGCTCTGGTGATATTGCAATGGATGTTTGATTGGTAATCACATCCAGTGGGAGCTACTATGTCTAGCTACTCAGAACGTCTTTATCTCTTTAAAATGAAGTTCCTAAAGTAAATCTTTTGACTAGAGTTCCTCTTGTTACGCGATATCCCTCAAAACCTTAAGTTTAGTCACTATACTTGGTTAACCTATTTCCCACACCACAACTTGGCCCATCTTATTATCCTTACATTTATGGTGAAATTTGATCAATTTGGCATCAACGGTCACTTGATTTAATTCCAGTATATTCTAGATAATGAATAAACATGCTGATTAAAATCTAAAAATAGACATTAATTCCATTCATTTTGAAAATTTTTAACCGTTGAATCATATGAGAGTTTTATAATTGTAACGATTACTTGGGGTCCTTATCAAAAACCCAAGGTGTTCAAGGATTTATCTCACTTTGCCATACAACTTTTGATAGTCATGTCATTACCTCTTAAACGAGGACTACCCTAATTATACTCAAATATATCCACAACCTTCGTACTTATCCTCACAAGCCACCTTTATGACACTTTACTAACTAGTCTATTTTCATTAATTTTGTATTAATGCCTTGTCCAACTTCAAGAAAATGAAACCACTCGTAATTTATATCCACTTTCAATAGAAGTTGTTTCAATTAGGCATTGAGATTTTTCACACACAAAATATATACCTTTGCTCTCTTTCTTTATTTTCCTTCTACAACATCAACTTGTAGGACACACGATAATTTATGTGTGATATTACGATAAAAATTTTTCAAAAGATGATTATATTCTGAAAATAACATTTATTGAAGATAAATTGTCCTTAAGAAATAGTGTGCCAATTGGCCGATACAATTAAATGCAAAAGATGCATGAGCAAGATAACCAAAAAATTTTAAGTGCATTCATATACATACCACATAATTATATATTTAGATGCCCAACACACAAACTTTAATATTTTCACATAACCTTTAACATTCTATAAAAAAATATTACTATCACTAATATTTTAATAATGAAATACACTTTTTCATGTATATGTTTATAATGCTAAAATGTTACACATATAAATGTCAAATCTTAATTGTTTACATGTAAATATAGAACAATTATGTAGGATGTATATAAATTTCCCAAAATTTCAATGCAAATAATTAGAAATAAAGAGTGATCAAAAGAAGAAAACTTAAGCAAAAGCCAATAAAAAACTCATAAAATAAGAGATGACAATAATGCTACGATGTTGTAATAATATCAAGAGTGTGAATTTCAATCAAATAACGATAATTTCTACATTAAATGAGAAAAGCTAACAAAAAACAAATCATATGGCTTCATTTACAACGTTAAAGGTGCCATTTTTATGAATTGCTTTTAACAAAACACAGAGTCAAGCAAGAAACCAGAGATATTCATTCAAAGAGTCAGCTGCTCCATTCCTTTAACGTTCCTCCACTTGTTCTCTTGCTCGAGGGCCATCTCTTCTTCTTCTTCTTCTTCTTCATCCTCCTTCAAACTGGAACTTGCTTCTTCTGTTTCTGAAGACCCTGGTCTTTCTGTCAAGAATTGCTCCCAGAACTTATCATTAGCTCTTCCAGTAGCAGGACCAGCCTCCCGCTTATTTACTGCCACCATCTTATCAACACCAACCTCTTTGCTACTGTTAGTTGTGCTCTGATCAACCACAACAGCCACAGCCAGATCAATCGTGCTTGGAATTCTGTTCAATTGATCGATTCTATCAGTTTGCATTGAGGACGAAGCAAGAGTGAGATCCAAGTGGCAGGAAAGTAGCCCATCATTACCTTCATCAAGTTCTGTCATCAACAATGAATTCTTTCTAGGGCAGAAAGAAGCTCCGGAGTCTGAAAGCTCAGGTGTCCCGGTGCCTAATGGAAGGCAGTCCATCCTGAGAAGGTTGCCTCCATTGTCTTCGTTCCAATCATTGCCTGAAAGTGAGGGACAAAGCCCTAGCTTCAATCTATCACACAGCTCCTGGTTGAGTAAATCCCCGACTTCCCCAACCTTCAAATTGCGGGTGGAATTAACAGAATTCTCACAAAAACTGTTCTCCGAAATCTCAGGACAGCAATCGGCCTCCGGAAGCCTCCTCTTTCTATGGAGCGTGGAGAAGTCCTGAGCGCCCGCCATCTTCACGATATTCTCCACAAACTTCGGGTTCCGAGCAGCTTTTTGGAGGAATGCCACCATCTTTTCCTGCCTCTGCTCCATATCCTGCATCCTCAGTTCGACATGTTCAAGCTGAATTCTAGCGATTGAATGCTGCTGCTTAAAGCGCCATGAATCCGCTTGAAGTCTGGCTTTCTCCTTCTGTAGATTCTCTATCTCCTCTACAAGCGCGGCTCGCTCGGCATCCGCCGGCGGTTGGCTGTGGCTGTGGATTGGTTTCCGGCGGTGGATGTTCTTGAGCAGATGTTTCTGCCCTTTGATGAAATCTTCGTTTGCGAACTCCCAACGCTCGGGATCGATTTTGTGAAAACCCTATAAACATAAAACTGTAACGAGCGAATCCAAAATCGGAGAAGAAAGGGTGGGGGTTGGATTCTTACATAGGTGTTGAGCTGTCGGATGAAGCTGGAATAGTTGTTGTGCTTGAAGTAGGTGGGAAGGAGGCGGGAGGAGAACTCGGGGGGATTCCAGACGATGAAGCTGGAATTTGTGCTGCTCCAGGAGACGATTTCGTCGGTGGAGGAATCGTCGATCATGTCATAGGTTTTCAGAAGGAAGGGGGCAGGTCCGGTGGTGGAGGAACCGGGGGCGTCGGTGGTGGCGAGGGGCGGCTGTTGTTCCATTGCAATCGGCGGGAGGAAGATCGGGTGGGAAGAGCAGGGAAGCAGGGCAGGTGGAACGAAGATGCAGCAGACGATGATGACTATTGCTGAGTAGTCGCAGTCAACACAACTGCAGCTTGTTGCGGTTGTTTGTGGGTTTTATTCATTTATTATATACATTTATACATGATTATTTTTATATACTTAATAATTAATATTTAAATTTTAATATTTATTTGTATAAGAGTGAGCATTAAGATGGCCTCAAAAATATCATTAATTTTATTTTTTACATATAATTATTTTTTCATACTTTATTTTAATATGATTTTTACACCAAATATTATATAAATGTTAAATTTTGAATAATAAATATGTCACTACCTAAAAATGATGTGATATGAATGTAAATTCTCTTTCTTTTTCATTTTTATTTGTTATTTTTATGACAATATTTAATTGGATATATGAATATGACGATTTTTGAAAATTAATACTATAAATAGAGTCTACTTGTCAAAATGGCAAAATCAAACCTATCTTTCGAGGTGATTGAATCATGTCTATAAGTAACTAAATCTCGCCTTGGAATGCACTGACCTAGTCTACCCAGAGATAGACAACCATTAAGGAATGTCATCATTATTATCAAGGATGCATGCCCATCCTTTTTTAATAATGTTTATTGACATCCATGTCATTGATTTTTCATTAAGACACTTTATGTGGTATTGTACCAAATTCATTTTCAATTATTTAATCATTTTTGTATAAAATAGAAATCAAGAGGAGAGCAGGGAGATCTCTTTCTCTCCTCTCTCTCTCTCTCTAACATTGTAATCCAGAAAATCTTGTTTCCTTTAAGCCATTTTCTATACTTGCCGAAAGTTCAAGCTCAATATACAATCCCTCAAACATTCTCTCAAACATTTCAGACGTTCTCTCAAATCTTACATCTATCTATTTCTCTCTTTCATACTTTTCTTCCACGAATACAAGATCTTGATTTAGTTGCTTGTACTTACGAATGATACGAGACCATATATCCTAAAAGGATTCAACACAATTGATGTGCCCAAATATAAACTGAAAAAAAAATAAGAATATATATATATATATATATATATATAATAAAAGAGCGTTGAATAGAATCACCTGAATCTTTTAAATGAAATCCTCTTGTTAACATGTCAACATTCCATAATGAGGAAAACCACTTATAATTAAAATAAAATGAAGAGAATAATTAACCTCTTTGGATATGAAAATTATCAAAGCTTCACCAAAAACAGATGCACATATGGAGGACTGTGGGAAACTTCATGTGAGGAAGCATTGGTGCCTTCAATGGGAAGTGCAATTTGCTAAAATTATATAGTGTCTAATTCCTTTTAAGAGAGAATTTTGATGCTTATAAAAAGAAAGTAAGAAGGTTTAAGATTTCTTATGACCTTTGGGAAATTATAGTTGAAAAGAATCATAATGAGCTAGAAAAAAACTTTTAGCTTTCTTACAAATTATTTGACAAATTTTTGCCCTAAAATTCATTATTTAACAAAAATAAAAAATTGTTTTTTTTAACTTTTTTTTATTTTGAGAAAAAACAAATTTTGGCTATTATATTTTAGAAAGCTTGCTTACAAACTATTTGACATATTGTATTGTTTTCACTCATATGTGCGTGTATATTGATGCTCTCTCTTGCGAGAATGCTTTTGAACGCACACGTGCATGCACTGTAACATGTGTGCGTGGATATCATTGGCAATAATTGTGGTCAGGCCAACTTACTTCAGGCTCAACCCTACTTACTTCATTCTTTTTAATATATGATATTAATTCTGTCACCAAAGCCTTTACAGTCGGTTTCAAATATTTTGAAGAACTATATTTTAATAAGTTTCACTCTAATTGATACAATGATTTCAATAAATTCTACAATTAAGATTGATGAGACTTCTGTGATTCATAACCTGGAGGGAAGATTTATGTTGATGTTTGGGAAGCGGTCGGAGCATATAATTAAAAAAATAATAATTTTATGCTATAAATTTTTCAAGACCTCTTTATATTTTTAAATGCCATAAATTTTGACACTAGAAAATAGGGACAAAAGATATGTTATTCAAAAGTTATTTTTATAAACATTAGCTTTGATGCATTTTTTTAATGAAAATTTTTATGTTAAAATTTAGAACCATTCAATCCTTAAATTTTAGCAAATTTATAATTATATCAAATGTATTAAGAAAATAAATCTAATAATATCAAAGTGATTTAATTTGAGTCCAAACAAGCTTGATTCAAGCATTAGAATATGGCTAAAGTTTTTAAAATATCAATTGAGCCTTTAAATAATCTTGGAACCATATATGCTTATAGTAAAATATAGTATCTCAAAAAAGAAAAATCTAATATTTCTATGTCCACATAATTTTGAATCATTGATGCACTTACATATTATAAAAATGCTCCACATTTAAAGGAATTAACATGAGTTTTCTCATAAAGTATTTTGAATTTTGGTAAAATTTATCAAAATATCAATTCTAAAAGAATATACACATTTCCAAATATAGAGATAAAAGGTTCGAAATTGGATTGAGTTTGGAAATAATAATAAGATAATAAAAACTTTATAACACCACCCAATGTTTAACAATAATGAAAGTCACTAGCAATCACCGTCAGTCGACCTATATCATTTGATCATTATTAATGGTTGTTATCATTATTGCTTTATTATTATTTGATCACTATCATCTAATCACAATCATCTAAACAACATTGTCCAATTATATTGTCTGATAGCCATCATCTAACCACTATAAGAGTTACTCATTTATATTATTTGAGGATCGTTACTCAACCACTATTAATACCCCTATGACATGGGTGTCCAAAATTTACCTAACACAATAAATTGATTCAAAATTGACTAATAAAAATGCATTATGATTCACCCAAAATTTTCTTTTTTGTTAGTTTTCGGTCTTAATATTTAATAGATTAGTTGTTTTTATTGAGTTTGAGTTTACATGAACACTTAAATAGAATCCAAATTACTCTTTTGCAGATTTGAGGTGTGTAAGAGACAAGCTGAAGAACGAGAAAATTTAGAACATTTAAATGAAAAAAATTGTGGATGGTTCACTCTTATTTCAATATTTCTCATTTTTTCCTAGGACACATCATTTATTTCAATTGCAAGTCATAACCAGAGATTAAATACATAATGGTTTGGAGCTCTGTCATAAAGGTTTGAAAATCTCACTTTTCATCTTTTCTATTTCTTCTTTTTGATTATTTACTGTTTAGGGTTTCGTTTTTTCCCTTCTTCTCTAGCAGCATCTGTAAGTAATAAACCACAAAGGTAGAGTTAAACTTTGAATGCACAAGGATTTGAGGTTTCACAATTTTTAGCATAATCTGCACTTCTCATCTTCTCTAATTCGCCTCTTCAAAAAAATTTTCAACTTTTTAGGTTTTGCCCAATTATCCTCCCGTAGTTCACATCTTAACTTCATCATAAGGCTAGCCGCAACTCCTCCCAAGGAACACCGCTTATTATAATAAAAACTCATTCATTTGTAGAGGTCAATTAGTGAATGATTGATTTATGTGTTGGTGGGGTATATATTTTTTAAATTTTTAGTGAATGTTGATTTATGTTTGCAGCATAGAGATGTTTGCTAATGTACAATACCTTAATTGATTATGCATAAATTTTTTAAACTCTAGAAATATGGTATTGGAGATGTGATGTATGTAAATATAGGAGAACTTGGTGGTATGTATGTAAATGCATTAAACAAGAAGCCGTTAATCATTTTGGACAAAACTTTTCAATATCTCTGATTCTCTGGTGTATAAAGTCTCTTGAACTTGGTAGGATTATTTGGCATGAGAACAAGTCATCTATTAATGTTAGGTGTTTGCATTGTGGCTAGGTTGCTTTCACATGCTTGTAACGATTCATGGATCCATCTCATGTCTTGATTGTGTTCCTCCTGGGTATCAAACGAATAGAATTAATGAAAATTGTTTTCATTCTCTTCTCTTTTTATTTTTAAAGCAGCTGTCGGTTTGTCTATCATTGTATATTTCTCTTTTCCCAAATAAGTCTCCCATACAGATTAAATGAATGATCAAGAGAAGAGAGAAACAAGAAAAGCAGGACATACGACAAAGGAGGACAAACAAGACAAAGAAAGTGGAGAACTTTCGTGCGACAAAGCTCACAATGATAGGTTAAGAATATAAGTCCGAACAAAATCAAATCGAAATACCTTATGTCAAATATCCGCAAAAGAATGCCTATGAATGCTGCCCACAACCAGAGATTCAGGTGTATTTGTCTGTTCTGGGGTCCACTGTACTCATAATTTGACGTATCACACTTGATTAATTACATCTTGTGGGTTACCCAAGAATACTCTTGATCCAGGGAGATTTGCATACATTTAGAGTGACAATTAGCACATGGTTATTAAAGGACAATTATTTGGTAAGGGAATGCCCTGATACTTTCAAAGCTCCTGCCAAGCCATAGAGCGAAGAGTGAGTCTCTCACAGACCCACATTGATAGCAAACTCATAATCATACATTGCCTACAAAATAACTAAATCATCCTGATGAAGAATCCTAATACGTCAAAGCACATTTGTGTCATAAAGGCACGGGATAAATCGTTGTATCCCATAAGGGCATTAGCTAATTGGTAATGAAGTTGTCGAGATGATACCAACAAAGGAAAAATGAGTGACATGGCTTAATAGGGGTAGTCAAAGGAAGCGAAGAGTAATCCCTAGAAGATAAAGGTAGTCGGGTCAGGGTACCACGAGCCCGCCATCCCAAGCTACTTGGTCCTTAAGTATACATAGTTCAGAAGGTAGTCGACCCAATACGTCCAGAGATCCCCAGTCAACAATCCGTCAATTGCATCATCCACGGGGACATCGGTAGCCCTAAGGTCAAAGGAACAAATCTCTATTCCATGACTATTAGGCGGAGCTCCAAGAGAAGAGGCTTATACCTGCCGAAGTGACGAGGGTGCTGCTGGAAAGAGAAGAAGGAGGAGCTGCAGCTATAAAGCTGGAAACACTCCCAACAAAAAAAACTTACTCCCCGTCTGCG